CCACCAAGCCCATCTGACCCCTCAGTCCTCACCTTTGACCCCGCCCTGGTGGTGAATGACACTGGTTGCCAGAGCTGTGTCGTATCACTGAACAAACTCAGATTGATGGAGAGGAAACAATGTCCGTTGGCTGAGTTTGAATGCTGGAGGGGATCTGTTTTTAGTTTGTCCTGATGTGGATGTATTTTGTAAGTGATGTACGCAGAAGACACAACGTCTTCAGTGATTTAATGTGATGTCTAATGATATGACTTTTAGCTTAATTTTAATGCAGTGGCCTGTTGAAATGAGTTGTTGGATATCAGTTTGTACTCAGGTTAAAAGGGAAGCATTTTCATTAGTGCGGAGGTAGATTTATGCTATATATATCATCCCATGAGACCAGTTAAATTTCATAAATATTTTCTACTTTGCTGTACTTGCTTCTTCTTGTAAATGAACAGCAGACCCCTTTTTGTCAATAAGTACACGTTGTTCTGATCAGTATAGATTTCCTTGTGTCTTCTTAAAACTGAGCTCTGGAAAACTCTGTGGATATGTAATGTTATGTGATGATTCCTCCAACTCTCTGAACTCCTGCCACACAAGCTTCTTCACTCTGTCAGATTCATTTTCATCCTGTTCATACACCATTGTTACAGTGGATTACACATGCATACGTAACGTTGTACATAATGTTAGAGTTTTGCAAAAAGTAATATTTTACGTGAGAAGGTTATTTTGTCAATTAATTTTCAAGTGTCTTTAGAACAAGCATAGCGCATACTTTAAATAATGCTTATTGATGCCTTTATAAAGCCGCCTTGTTGATTAGTCAACATTTGAAACTTTGTACATATGACCTGATATAGATTTCTGTGGCAGTATCGTGATGTTTATACTAAATAAAAATATCAAGACTTACAAAATATGCCTCAGTTTTTATTGACTTCAGTGTGATTGGTGACTCACTCAGCTGTTAATCTTCTGCACTTTTTTGCTGCGGAGCTGTGAGCTGAGTGTGTTTCAGGCTGCTAACACCACTGTCTGCAGAAAAGAAGAGACTTCCGCTCTCTCGAATGCAATTTCAGGTTGTCCTCAGTTTGTTATATAATACAGTTTCCTCATGTTGACATATTTGGGATATTTATGAGTCTCGTTTCTCAACTTTATGTACGCTTTCACATTCGAGACAAACAAACAGAAGTGCCTGTATGTCTGCTAAAAATGTTAAAAACACACCAGAGATATAAAACATACGCAAACAGTTTAATTTTATTTTACTTTCTTGCAACCTTTCTCAGAAGCTAATTCCCTTTTTAACCGTAACACATCCTCCTCATAAACCATATAAATACAGGTTGTTGTTTTAACTTTAGGGTATACTTAAAGGAGTTTCAGGTGTAGCTTTTCCAGTATACATGTTTTTCAAACCTCCACACTACACACTGGTGTGACTAACCAGTACAAATAGTCTAATCTAAAGTTTACTGGTAAATTATATCACGTTTAAAAATCCCCATATCACACCCTGAGAAAGAAAGAATGTTGAAATACCACTATAACAGTCTATAGGAACAATGTTTGCTGCATGTTTTATCATTGATGGTCTAGTTGCAGTTTTAATTCTATACATTTCATTTCATCCCAATGCAATAATAATAATAAATAACAATAACCTGCCTACATTACCTGCAGGTACTGGACTTGATTGACACATAGTGTTAATATTATATGCAACATGCTTGTTATTGTGTTGCCTTTATAAGATATGACACATGGTGAAATACTTTATGCTGTAGAAATATAGAGCATGTCCAAAGCAGGTTTAAGTTAAGCTTGAGATACAGTGACATCTAATGGCTATGTAGGGGCACAGCAGCTGGGTTTAGACTACCACAGGTGAAGTTTAAACTGGACACAACAGTGGGGTTTTATATTAGTTTATTCTAGACAAACACAGGTTTAACCTGTATTAAAAGTTAAACTGCAGTCCCATAGTGATCCACTGTGGTCTATTATTTAGTTTTACAACAATACAACATATCAATTTATCATATATTTTGAGTTTTACTATTTCTAAATAAGTAATACACTTTTTTTTCTCCACGTTCCTCTTTCAAATACTGATCAGATAAATGCAGTTGCAGTGCCACCCTTCTCTGGAATATTATCTTCATCAGAAACATCTTGGTAACATTGTTGTTTCAGACACGGCTTCCTTCACATTGGACTGATGCGTTTTCCTTTATCACCAGCAGATGGCGACACTATTTCATGAGACATCCAACTCACACTAGACAGCCTTATTGTGAAGCTAAATTAGATCAATATGGGCCACATAAACTATTTCTTGATTCTAAAATATTAGTCTTACTCAGATTCGTTAAGATTGCTTGCTTTGTAACATATATTTAAGCCAATCGAGCTGCACAACGAACTGGAAGAAGCAAGTTCAGACCTCCTTTTTAATAACAATAAGAGCTTTATGTTGACTCTTTCAGTAAAGCATAAAGCATATAGTCGTTCGTCCAGCATATTGTTTTCTTCACAGCCAGCAGAGGGGGGGGGGTGCAAAGCAAAAGCGCCCCTCTCTATTTAATCAGCCAGACATAAATTAGCACCCACCCAATTGATTCACTGAAGCCATCCATTGTGAGACCCCCAGTCTTCTGACCTGACCATAAATGTTACTGGCAGGGTGACAATTTGTTATTTCCTTTCACAAGCCTGTCATTGGTTTGCATACATATATTATAGAGTGGAAGTAAAAACACTTCAATCTGAAAAACATTATGCCTGTTTACTCCC